AAACCACAGGATAAGACCACTGTCCTGGCTTCAGCTGCTTTACACTCACAACACAAGCCTGTGGAGGCAATCCTGGTTTTAACAGATCTTTTCCTTGGGTTAATATAGCCCCAAACAATAAACCCATATTAAAAACATACCAGAACAAAAAAGCCCTACTCCCAGAAGGAGTGAGCAATTCATTGTGTTTGTGTGTCAGCTCCTGCTGTCTTCACACAGCAAAAGTCACAGCATCCCTGCAAGCCCAGGACTGGCCTCTGTATGCCAAGGGCTTTGATAAGCTTTAGTGGGACCTCATGGGGGGCAATCCCAATAGGGTTTTCCCAGATTTCCCCTCTCCTCCTCCCCAGCAGCCATGAGCATAGTTTGTTCCTGTGCCACTGATGTGTTCCCCAGCCATCAAAGAGCCTGCTCAGGGCAGGCCCTCCTTGGAGTTGAAGGGATCCCTGTTCCCCACAAAATACATTTTCTACATAGACATTTTTGTTCAAAGACTAAACTTGGCACATGTGGAGTTCAGCTAGTCACAAAACCACCTTTCAAAACTTAGGCTGGCAGAAACAACATTTAAATGTTACAAGTGCCACCACCTTAACCACTAGCCTCCTAGAAATGGAGCAGAAGAATGTGCTGCTCTTGAATTTCCTTTAGATTTTTAAAAGGCAGACAGCCCCACCTTAGCTCTGTAACAAACCTGGCAGCCCTATCCCTAAGACCTCATTTTTGAAAATAAAAGAGAAGGAAGTGCAGCTATGGTCCTGAGGCAGTCACATGTCATCAGGTAAGAGGTCCAGTAATTCAGCATGGGTAGAAGTCTTCTGGCAGAAATCAAAAATCATCTTCTTTGTGGAAAACTGTACAGAACTCTCTGATTCAAAACTCCATCCAAATGGAGATCTTTGAGCACCTATTTTCACTTTTAAGATGGTGTTGTAAACATGAAGTCACCCTCAGACCTATCTGTCTTAAGTATGAACTGTACACAGAAACAGGCTGAACACCAATTAACAAACTGGCAAGTAGTCCAAGCTGATACGGACTAATGAAAGACTAACAAACATTTTGTTAGGTTTCCTAAGATTTTTTTTCACCAGAGATGTTAATTATCAAGCGTGAACATTACATGACGTTGCTATTTGCAGCTTGTGTATTCTGCAATAAGAAGATGTGGGACCTAGATGATACTAGAGGAAAATGAGTGATTTTAACTGATCTGTCAAGCGTTTTACATGTAATTTTCAAATAAGTCAATGTGAGCCCAGCACAGCTCTGTTAGAGCCCAGAGGCACCCTCATAAATGACACATTGAGGTGTCTTTCAGAAGATGCAGCTTAGATGAGTTTTTCAGACTATGACACTGACCCACGAAGTTCCTGCCCTGCTCGTGCTGAGCCTTTCTCCACCCCATGCCCAACCCTGCCAGCATTGCTGCCCGCATGATGCCACTGTAAACTGGATCACTAAAACAATCCAGGTAAAAGCAACTTCTTGGATGGGTTTTGATGCTGGAGAAAATGCTTGCCCATTCAGCAACTGCTCACCAGCTCCTGACCTTCCAGGCAGCAGCACATGTCCTGAATAGTCTTGGCTGATGCTCTGTTTTGGGATTACTCTTTGGCAAAAGCCTTTGGACTTGCCAGGTGAGACAGAACCTGGAGCAAAGCGCAGAGTTGTGGGAATCCCAGACTAAGAGAAGGACCTATTAATTTCAAAATAAAAGGTATTCTAGAGACAGATGAGGGAATAGAAATGTCTTTATTTATTGCTAAACCACTGAAATACCAAGGTGATGATTATCTGAGTGGGCGGAGGGGATTATCCAGTGGTTTTGGAAAGAAGGTAGAGATAGAGGAACAGAGGCCTCAAGCAGTGTAAGAGGAAAAAGTTATGGCTGAGTGAATAAAGCAAGAAAAAAAATACAGATTTTCTCCACTCCTTCTTGTAAGAGAAAAATACCCAAACCAAACCCAAATTCATTTATATGCCTCAATGAGGGCCCCCTGAAAGGCTGGGCCTGGGCAGCCTCATGGGCACAGGTTGGTGGGGTGAGACTGGGCAGGGCTCTTTGCAGGAACCATGCACAGGCTTGTGTGCAGCAAATGTGCACAGCCACTAAACCTGCAACAGTGGCATCTCCTGCAGGGTTTTTTAATTTCCCTATGAAGAAATTGTAGTTGATTTTCTTCCAAAGTAAACCTCCCTCTATACCCAAGTATGTATAAATTAAATACCTGCGTATTTGCCTTCTTTCTTTTCTTCCTGAAAACTGACTCCAATGTTTCTCTAATTTTTAATACAAAACACAATCCTTACTATTCCTTCCTAGGTATGCCAATAATCCATTGTAACTGCTTTTGCTTGCCTACAAAACACACCTGGCTACCCTTGTGAAACAGATTTAGCATAAGCAATTGCCAGGCTGTTCTGCTGAAAGCATCCCCCAGACTTTGGGCTTGTAAAGATTCATTACTGGGGTCATGAACCCTGCTGAAAGAAGATTTTAATTCAGGGATCCCTATTGCTGCAGTAGTAAGTAATCAAGTAAGAAGAAGTAACCAAGAAAAGCAATTCAGAACAACTGCATCTGATGTCATGCGAGAAGCCCCTATCCAAACACGAGATGCTCACAGGGAGGCAAACTCTCAACCAGCGCTGCTTAACAGATGAGGAAGGGTACATGATGAACCAGCTCAGCAGAAATCATCTGCGCTTGCACCTGATACCGGAGGCACCCCGCAGCAGCCGGTCCACTTGTCAGGGAGAGGGAGAGCGGCTTCCACAGATGACTGGACAGTAATCCACCGAGGAGAGCTGTCTTGTTAATAAATCTGTCCTCTGCAATGAAACTGTGCTCACACAGATGTGTCAGTTCCTTTATTCGGAGGGAGCAGCCTGAAAAAGATCACGGCAGCTATGCTTTCCGTGGATGCCAGAGGCTGGGGTGAAGAGGCGGCAAGGAGCATGAGTGAGGAGGTGGGGTGCTGTGTCTCCTCCACGCTGCCCACACAATTCTCCCTGCGGCAGCTGCTACCTACATGCAGCACGTGAAGCTATGGAAGCAGGAGGCTGCCCTATTTGCCTGTGTCAAGCAAAACTGTCAATAACATCTATTCTTCAGGCCCCATTTGACAGATTGTACTTCTGGATGTTGCACAGCAATAAAGTTCCTACAGCCTTTTCTTTTTTACATCATGCAAAGATGGTTTTTAAATCCAAGCAATTCATGCACCTGAAGGAAGAAAGAACTGGTCAGCAAGCATGACCTTCTGTGAATTTTTGCTTCCTCATCCTTGAATCAATTCTCTTTTTTTCCTCCCTTTCTTTTCCCTAAATTCTCCAGTACTGGAGCTGAAGAAAGCCCAAAACTCATGCATGGCCCTGGCCTTGCTGAGTTGTTGCCTTATTCAAGGTCTGTGGGATGCAGCATCCTCTACAACCCTTCTCTGCAGCCCATCTCCTGGCTGTGAACTGCAATGCTCTTGCTAAAAGTGAGAAGATGTGCAAGAACCAGAGGAAATCCTTCCACTGACAGTGAAAGGACTGTGCACACCAACCACTCCATTGGAACACGGCAGCTTTGCAGATTGACTGAAAGGAGGATGCCTGGGCAGCCCCGTTCTCCCTCACAGAGAGCAGATCACAGCACGTCTCCTGGGGTGCTCTGTACACACAGGAAAACAGGAAAACATTCTCGAGGTTCACCACTGCTGCTCACCTACCACACAGCTTCCCCTTGAACATCTAACTGTGAAACAGTGAATGAAAATGCAATTAAAGATGAAAGGGGCAAATTATGCACTGTAAAGTCAAAGGACACTGACTCCTTCTTTGCGTCCTTCACCTGGAAAATAAGAAAGCTGGAAGTAAGCTGTAAACTGAATGAATGCATCATTTAACCTCACCACTGAGATGCTCTACATACTATTCTGAAGTTAATAGAACACTTTCAATAATTTATAGTTAACCTTTTATCCTACTACATTTTGAAATTTACTCCCTTATACTAATAACTAAACAAAGGAGAAAAGGTACTTTATGTGGCACCTGCCCTATGAGTCAGGGAATATGTGTGAGGAGGCAGAGGTATGGGCAGGATCCTGCAGAATCACAAAAGGATCACAGAAACAATGATTACAAGTCCCCAACTGTGGAAAATAAGCAGTGGAAAAAACCATATCAATCTTGAAAAAAATTAATCTGAAGAAGTTAACACTTAGAAAACACCTATGTCAGAACCCAAATCTACAGATACTCTCTTGGAGGAGTCCAAAAGAAAAAGATACCTACCCCATTCACGGGTGGGGGGAGGAGGACAACAGTTTTTGCATACTTAAATAGGCCAGGACATTCCTGAGACAAGGATCCCACCAATATATAATTCCTCCGTTTGATACCTTTTCTTGGCCAAGAAATACAATTTTACGAAAAAGCAAACCCAAACAACTTTGCTAGTGTTGCAAAGCAGCAGCACAACTCTGATCCTGCCCAGATCTGTCCCACACACCTGATCCCCAGTGGGTCCTCTGATCTTGCAAAGACACTCTTCCTCCTCTCCCACAGCAACACTGCTCCACTGACTGCAGAGCCCCTTGCCCCGTCCCTGTGTAAAACAGCTTGGCTACACATGGCATTGGCTGCAAGAAATAATCCATCTGTTGTGACTTCAAAGAAGACGAGTTAGAGCTCTGCGATTCCTAAAAGCCACAAATATTCCACCTTGGTTTGCCTGATTTGTCATTAACATTTCTCATGCCTAAATTAAGAAGGGCGCTGAGCACCAGATGCGTGCTGACAATGTTGCAGTCGAGCAGCTTTTATAGCTTAGCCTCGTTTCCCTCCACACCTCCACGTTTCTTGGTTGTGCCTGTTGCATACCAACACACAGCAAGCCATCACAAGCGAAATTACTATTATTAGTGTGCACTAACTATTAATGGTTTGGTGCAAACTCCAATAAAACTAAGGAACCAATTATTTTACCACATCTATGGGGCACTGACCTGTTTGCCCGTTTTCCCTGTTCTCAAAGATCCTTCAGCCTGGTACCCAACTCTGTGATGAAGCCTGTTTAGCACCAGTGAAGTTCCCCACATTCAGACTGACAACGTTCTGAGCTGAGATGAGGGAATCAAAGTTAAAATCCAGCCCATCGGCATCCATGAGTTCACTGCGGATAATGGACTCCATGTCACACTCCAGGCTCCCATTGAAAATATCCAGGTCCAAGTCACTCGGGAATTTCTCATGTCCCATGACCGGGAGGCTCACGCTAGAGGAGTACAAAGAGGAGCCTGACAGCGGGTCAGAAAGTGTTTGCATAGACTGATTGACAGGTGACTGCTGATGTTTGGTGGATCCCAAGCTGTTGGAGTCACTCAAGCCTATGTTACTGATGGAATTGGACAAGGCACGGCTGCCACTAAGAGAGGAGTTGTGGGACTGGTGCTGGTGATGGGACAGGTTCTGATTGACCAGACCGCCCTGGCTGGACTGCGCGGCAAACGACATCATGGGGTCGCTGCGGAGCATTATATTCCTGCGGGAATTCTGGGCAGACACAGCTGTGCTGGCTTGTGACATGAGTGGGTCAGACTGTGTCATCATGACGTCGCTGTGACTAAGCGCATCAGAGGTGAGGAGATCCTGCAGCGTCTGGTTGTTGTAATGAGAAATGGAAGAGAAGGTGGCCTGCTTGTTCTCCTGAATTGTCTGCATGGGTGACTGGCGGAGGGAATTCAGGGATGACGGCCCAAATACAGCGTTGTTGAAACTACTTGACGGGGAGCCCAGCCCTGAACCTTTGGAACCATAAGGAAAACTGGAGCTTCTCTGCATTATCCCTCCTGTGGGTGACTGCTGGGAGGGAGGGAGTGTTATATTGTCCAAGAGATCATCCATGAGGTTATCAGTCAGACCATCATTCAAGTTCATTGTCCCAGCCATATCAGTCAACCTAGGCAACTCCACAGTACATGGTTTGTTTACCGATGGGGACAAGCTCGATGGACTACTGTACAACATGGGAGAAAGTGGAGCATCGTCATCTTGAACATCATCGAGCTCAGTGCTTGCCAAAATTGGTGACAAGCGGCCACTGATAGTACTGGCGTTTGAATTTGTACGGGAGCGAAAATCTGTCCACGCATCCAGCTCGTCGCTGCTGCGGGAGGTGGGACTCCCTGGCCACTTGGAGAGCTGGGAAGGGCTATCCTCACTCGTCTCCTGGGCTGTCTGCAGGGCTGCCTTTTTCTTTGCCGCTCGCCCTCTGCTCTTGGTGTACTTGTTGCTGTTGTCCATTGACACGGCGCGTCTCCGGGGCGCCTTGCCGCCTTTTCCACCATCTGGATTGATCATCCACCAAGAGCTTTTCCCGGTGCCTTCATTCTGCACCCTGACAAATCGGCTGTGGAGCGACAAGTTGTGCCGGATCGAATTCTGCAGGAAAGGAACAAAACAGAACGTCAAGACTGGCATCCCACTTCTTTTACAACCCAAATCTCAATCATTAAACCAATATCCCCTGATAACAGCAACATGGACAAAATCATTGGACCCTCCTGGACATCTCCGTGAATTTCTCTGGTGCTGGATATGGGAGGGCTGGAGTGTAAGTGCAGCATGGCAGCAGCCTGTCCCAAAAAAAGCCCCAATCTTGCAATAGCTGTGCATTCCTTGTCCCCATCTCTACACCCCTAAAAGCTTCATCCTAAGAAAAGGAGCGTGACATTCCTGCCAGAAAGGAGCTGGATGTTTCTCCATTACTTTTTCTCAGGACAAACTATTACTATCAGTAATCTTGCCATCAGTTCCTTGAAATAAAAACTGCAAAGGCATAGCAGAAATCTGGCTGGAGGGGTAGTCACAATCATTGCAGCCTCTGCAAATGTCTTTTTCATTCTTCATGGGCACGTGTGCTATATATTTGTTATAATAATTCCTGAGAAAACTGCATGTGCTGTTGCTCCTCTCCCACAGGCACTCTGTGCATGACTAAGCTGTACTTTCTCTCTTGATTAGAGGAACCAGAATTATGCCCATACGGCAGTAGCTGGCCAGCTGTCCCCCCGCTATAGTATCCTCACAGTCTTCAGAACGTGATATGACACAGTATGCAACGATATCCCTGTCCCCGTAAGCTGCTGGATACAGAGCCGTATAAAGCTGCTGTACACAGCCAGCTACTCCGTGCTGTACAGGATGCTATGAAACACAGGGCTCTCAGGGGAGCCTGCACACAGCCTGCTCTTGCATCCTATCTGCTTGCACTTGTCAGCACATCCAACTGCCCAAACACCACCTCGGCTCAAACCAATGATCATCACCTCAAAATCAGAAAGAGCCTGAGAAAACCAGCCCAGAGTACCCCCAGAGAAGCGGCACTAGATTTAAACCAAAATAACTGAGATTAAAATCACACTCCACTCATCCTGCTGATCTTGTGCTTGAAATACGGATCAAAGAAAGGGAAAGGAAATAGTATTTGTTAGTGTGAATGCTTCCAGGTTTGGTAAACCAACATTTTTTTCCTATGTGGAACTCAAAAGATTTTTGGAGCTATCCCATAGTCCTTTGAAAAACTCCTTGTGCTATTCCTCTAAGCTTAAAGAGTCCAGAGTTCTTTTTTCTTGAATTTTGGCAATTGCCAGGTGTATCTATGAAAAGGATAAAATCATATTTGTCTTATCAACATCTCTTAAAAACACATAGTCAGCAAGACCATAACACAATCAAACCATTTAGAACAAGTGCCCTTTGTTTACAAACCACTGAAGAAACTCCAGATTTGAATGGGCAAAGAATAAATCAATCAACAAATCATTCACCAGCACCTCAATATTTGCATCCTTAGGAAAAATGGATCCTTGACATAAATAAACTGGAGATACACATAAAGAAGCACAGCCCAGCTTTTTTAGAAACAATTCTTTTCAGTATAAAATGCCTTTCTTTCCCCACTGTTGAGCATTGTGCTTTTTGTAAGATTGTGAAACGGAAACTTCATGCCTGAAGTTCTTGCACGCAGACAGCAGACATGGTTGTGATTATCACTTAATGAAAAGAGAAATCATATGGACCATGCTTCAAAACAGCAACTGCTATGTTTTAAACAATTTACACAAAGCAGCTGAACAGACTTTGCTGACATGCTCAAGAGAAGTTTGGGTCAGTGCCTCAGCTATAAACATGTCCATTTCTGAGGGACTATCATGCCATCAAAATATGGTGGATTGAGTTGCACCATAATAGTTCTTCAGTCTAACGAGGGAAAAAGCTTTTTATTGTTCAGCTGATGACATTTTAACCATATTTTGAGTCTGGCAACAGTTTAACTTCTAATAACTAGGCACCACTCCTTACTTCCTCAGGTTTCTTGCTGTAAAATGGCTGGATAACTGATGTTTTTTTTTAAATAACCCTTATTGATACTCCAGCTTGTACTACATCCCTGCAGGTAGCTCTCACCCTCACTCCCTATTACTTACATGGACAACCACTTGTAAGAACATTTGCATAGGGATTTCTCCATGCAAAGTCCATGCCAGGCTTTAAAAAGCCACAGGAACCATGCTGTTCCCCACCTAAAAATGCTGGGTATAAGAATACATGGCATCATGACTCTTGCTAATGAAAAGCAAATCTCAGAGAGGAGAAACACCTGAGGTGGCATATGCAGTGTGCCATGCACAGTTTCAGATATAAAAACACTCAGCCAAAGTGCCAGCAGCTAACAGTTTTCAGCCTATAGTGTTCTGATAAAAGGGCTTATTTCTGCTGCTGGTATCTGTAGTATGAAAGTATTTGGCCTAAAACCGTGAAAAATCCTAAATGGTAAAATTGTGAGACTGAGGCACCTTTCAGAATGAGGACTCCTGCATGTGTGGATATGTATGTGCACATTTGTAATTTTCTTGTTATTATATCTTTTTGCTCAGCATCGGTTTTACACAAATAATAAAAGAATGTAATAATCCTTCTGCATTGAAAATTGGTGGTTATAAAAAAATCCAAGCAGTTTGTTTTCCTTTACATTAAGCACTATGCCACTTAAAATCCTGCTTCTGTTTTTCTTTGCTTTTCTTCTGCAGGAAGATTTTCTTAAGCATAATTATGGGCTAATTTATTTTTGTGTACCCCCTCTCCACCCTCTGTTAAAACATTGCCTTAAAACCCACTTCTTTCACATAACCTCCCCCACTAACCTCTTCAGCAACAGTACCTGAGTTTTTCGGTTTCTCCTTTTGTTGGATGCCCTGCCAAATCAAATTAGGGCTGGATCCTATTATCCTTTCTCATGCAAGTTTTGCTGCAGAAGCCACCAGGATTGGCAACTCACATCAGTAAAGGCTGTTGCACTGTGCTACCAAGTAGAAATCTGGATTGAAATAACTGTATTTTCTACCTGTTTTCTGAGCTGTCAAAAAATATTCCCATCTGCTTAAAAGATAGGAAAGTATATAGGGACAATCGTTGCTCACAACCATATGCATAACTAATATATGACCATGCAACAAACCACAAAGGAGGTAGGGAAGCAAAAAAAATACAGTTTATCATTTGAACCCACTGCTGCTGAAATTAATGGGAATTTGACTGATGTGGGAGATGAATTAGGCCATGATGATGGAAACTTAACACATTTTTCCATGCCAAAATGCAATGAGAAACTTTAAAAGACCCATGAAGGAACTTCCATCATCTGTCCTGGAGACCATATGTAGATGGGATAGATGCTGGCCAGGCTGCAGACAGCTCAGATACCACCAATGGGTACAACATATGGACTGTACTCAAGCAGAGCAAAAAAGAAATATGATGAGCTCCTCCCTTCATTAGTGTTATCATTTATACTGGACTCAAAGAATGTTGTGGCTCTACTGAACGCCAGAAGACTGATAATCCTGCAGATAACATCAAGAGCATCATGCACTGCCCTGAGGCCAGACCAGCTGGGTTGAAGTCCCCTTTGAATATGGTCCTGCAAGGGGAGGGATGGTCCCTGGAGACAAGGAAGACTGAGGGCAGAGGAACACACGAGACCGGCCAGAACTGGTGTGAGTAGTGCCACGTGCATGCAGTGCTGCTGTCCTCCCTTGGCTTAGGCTGATGGCACCAGCAGAAGGGGTGAGCTGGGTGCCCAGAACAGCCAGGGCAGCAACACCAGGGCTTATATCACTTTCCCAAACTCAGGGACATGCTCTCAGAGATAAATGTTGATCCACTGCACCATGTTTTATTCGGTTAATACTCCTCCAGCTACATTTTCCTTGCAAGAAAATCCCCTGAGATCAGCTACCGTGTCCTAATTACACGAGTCTCTCTCAATATTTTGATAAGACTGCAAACAGGCAAGCTGACAGAGAGGACACTCAAACATTTCCAATGCGCCGTATCCCTAATTTGATACAAACAACTGAATTGAGTCTCCCAAGGAGGCTGGGACGTGTTATTTCAACACTCAGACCCAGTCAGACAACAGCAGCAAATGCTTGAGCTTTTAAAATGGAGAAAATTCCCCCTCCCTGTGCCCATTTCAGCCTCTTCCCAAGCCGTGTTTACCTTGTGGAGCCTGTCCACTAACTCAGACACCAGCTGCAAGTGCTTCCACTGCAGTACAGAGTCTTTTTTGTCTGGAAGCAACATGTGGTATCAATTTATCATCCTCGACAACGCAACAAGGAATCCACTCACTTTAAAAATAAAATGAGAGTTGTGTAACTTAACTCTTAAAAGTCCCTGCTTTTTTTTTTTGCTTTTTTTTTTCTTTTTAAAAAAATAAAAGGCCTAAAGATTAGCAAGATGAGGTGCAGCTGGTGGCTGACAAGTCCAAGTTACACACTGGTCTGTTTTTCTTTCAGTGTTTTGTACTGAGTAGCAAATTTGCTATTTCAGATACAGGCTCCTAAAAGTTAGGGCTAAAAACCAAAGGCAGTAAGTTTAACAACTGGGATATTAAGACATGGTGGGAGAAAAACAAACACTATCTGCAGACCCATAAACGCTGCTAATGCTCACTTGGGAGAATTACACTTTATTTTATCCTGTATTAACATATCTAATGTTTTTACTTCACCATATGAAGTTGTCTGGTGGCCACATAGTAGAGAAAGGCATCAGATCTAATCCTACTGAAAAGAAGCCATGAAAATAACTCCAGCTTATCAGTCTCCAGCTGAAGAGAGGGAGTCCAGCTTCTCTACAGCTCTGCTTGCTCACTTGAATTCTAGTTTTCAACTTACATCATCTTGCTCAAAATGTTGTCATACAAATCTCATTTGGTATGAACACTCCTAGAGACAGCTTCCACCAAAAGATTATTTTCTTTAAGAAAACTGTACTTTTTTTGCATTCAATGGCTGATGAAACTGGAGTCTGTTAACAATTCAACACATTTTGCCCACCTGTCCACACCAGCGTCCGTGACTTCTCATCAAGTA